TTTTCTGAGTCTTGTTACATATATAATCTTATGTGTACATTCCCATGTTGAGTTACTCATTACACGAAGAAAGTTACGTTTTTAATTTGAACACTAATGAAATAATTCCAGCGAAGTAATTAAAACTAAACGAACCCAGTGTGAGTAATTATATTTATGGTCGACTGAAAATTACCATGTAAGTAATAAAAATAATTCAAAAAATAATTATTGCTTGAAGAGTTTTGTCGTTTTTAGCTAAGAAAACAAGAACAAAATGAATTCCGTATCGTTTAGATGGTCATCAAAATCACATTTCTTCTACAAATTATGTGTGTTCGAAATGTTTCATGCCTCCCGATGCTTATAACGTTAGTAGTGAGTATATTTTTTTCAGTGTCTTCAATTATCTTACATTAATTAAACGGATTTTACCTTGAAATTACCTTAGATTTCGATCATTTATAGTAACACGTAATTAGAAGCTCTGTTTTTTCTTTCGAATTAACGAAATCCTTATTTCTTAAAATGAATGTACTTGATTTGTAGAAGAAATGTTAAAATGTGGCCATTGTCATTAATACCCTAACTCCCATGTATATAGAAATCAGGTTACAGGATCCTGGGCACAGTGCAAACTGTACATATTTTTACTACTACGTCCTGGTTATCTTATGTTGTAAATCTGGTTTTAGTTAAATTCCGGGTACAGTGTCATATTGTACATATTCTTTATTACAACGTCCTAGTTATCTTATATTCTAAGTCTGGTTTTAGATCCTGGGCACAATTTCATACTGTACATATTCTTCACTACAACGTCCTGGTTATCTTATATTCTAAATCTGGTTTTAGATCCAGGGCACAGTTTCATACTGTGCATATTATTTACTACTATGTCCTGGTTATCTTATATTCTAAATCTAGTTTTAGATCGTGAGCAAAGTGTCATACTGGGCATATTATTTACTACTATGTCCTGGTTGTCTTATATTCTAAATCTAGTTTTAGATCGTGAGCAAAGTGTCATACTGCATATTATTTACTACTATGTCCTGGTTATCTTATATTTTAAATCTGTTTAGTTAAATCCCAGGCACAGTGTCATACTGTACATATTCTTTACTACAACGTCCTGGTTATCTTATATTTTAAATCTTTTTAGTTAAATCCCAGGCACAGTGTCATACTGTACATATTCTTTACTACAAAATATATACAGTATGACACTGTGTCAGGGATTTAACTATAACAGATTCAGAATATAAGATAACCAGGACGATAACCAGGACGTTGTAGTAAAGCCTATATTCTAAATCTGTTTTAGTTGAATCCCTGCCACAGTGTCATACTGTATATATTCTTTACTACAACGTCCTGGTTATCTTATATTCTAAATCTGTTTTAGTTGAATCCTTGCCACAGTGTCATACTGTATATATTCTTTACTACAACGTCCTGGTTATCTTATATTTTAAATCTGTTTTAGTTGAATCCCTGCCACAGTGTCATACTGTATATATTCTTTACTACAACGTCCTGGTTATCTTATATTCTGAATCTGTTATAGTTAAATCCCAGGCACAGTGTCATACTGTACATATTCTTTGCTACAACGTCCTGGTTATCTTATATTCTGAATCTGTTATAGTTGAATCCCTGCCACAGTGTCATACTGTACATATCCTTCACTGTTATTCGACCATATTAAACGCTTTCACATGCCTTGTGAGGTATTCTAACTCCATTTTTCTTTATAAAATAGAACATATTAGACTAATTCGAAGTATTTATTAGGTTATAATGTATAATTAATTTCTTTACGTTTATCTACATAATATGTTGAGGCGTGGGGGTTTCCCCTCCTTCATGGTATAACTTTCGATTTTCGAACTGACTAGCCGGTTCGAATCCGTGCCATGCCACAAAATATTCCACGATCTTTAAGCTGTGAGTGCGTTATACGAGCAATCAGTTATACTGAACAGTATTAGTGGTCATAGTTAATATTAATTTATGAACTATTGTTAAAGAAATAATTACACAGTGATCTGTTATTGTTGAATTTGGAATTTTTATAAGTATAATCACTAACTTATAGTACTGATATAAAAATAATTTAATAGTTGGAATATTTTCATAACAGTATTCGTCACTAATCAGAAGGAACATGTATATGTGCATCAACTGTGGCTCGTTACATCAAACTGTACTATAATTACTTGTTTAATTGGGACGTTAGAAGAATAAACTCATAAAATACGTGTTTTTATTGTCTTGGAGCCAATGCTAACGGTTTCCTGATTTCTAGTATACTTTTAAAATAAATATTATGTATTCGAAGCATGTGTATGTGTGTGAATTAATCATATTTTTATAAATAAGTACATAATTCCCAGCGTTGTAATGAGTAACTGTATCATTTCAATCTGTTATTTGGTAATGTTGAATATAAAGCAGGATTAAAAGTATCAAATTGTTCATTTCTAATTCGTCTGTGAAAAGTTTGTTCCACATTAAAAATGCTTGCTTGTTTTTTATAAGCTTCACTGTCTCTTGGATAGACTTTATCAGTAATGATTTCGCCAATAATTAGTTGGTGAATCGAAGATTAGAGGAGGCTTTTATTAACTAAAGGGAAGTTTTCAGAGAAATTATTTGCATATTTTCATTATAATAAGGCATGCTACGATATACCAGCGGCTATTGTCAATTAAGACTTGTATTGAATTCTAAAATATAGTCTCTAGCGGCATTCGTTAAAAGGTTTCTTTATTACATACAGCAATGTTTCACTGCACACGTTTTGTATAGTTACTTGAAAACTACACTCCAGCGAACACGTATCTACAATAACTAAACAATGAAAATGTTTTGGGTAAACTACCTCAAGCTAGAACTATTGAAAGACACTATTGTTTTAATAATTAGATAAGAGTAAAACCATTACAATTATTACTTATAATAAATATATAAGAATTGTTTAACAATTATGTAGGGATATAACAATTAAAATACGTTACTGTTTAATAACTAGATAAAATTAGAATAGTGACAAAAATATTTTAATTGTCTTATTGTAATGTAACGTCACAGAAACAACCGATCAATATACACGCTTTGCCAGCATAAGGCGTTATAACAACAATTACAAACGCTATTGTTAAATAGGATTAGTACCGGTAATAATGTTATTGTATAATAATTATTAAAGAATACAGCCATTAAAAATGTTATTCTCTAAGACTAGAACAATTAAAAACGATATTTTTTAAAATAATTACGAAAGATTAGAACAATTAAAAACGTTATTGCTTAATGATTATAAAAGAGTAGAACCATTAAAACGCTATTAATTAATAATTATTATAACATTAAAATGATTAAAAGCGTTATTTTTTAATAATTACATAAGACTAGAACCATTAAACACGTTATTTTTAATAATTACAAAAGATTAGAGGCATGAAAAATATTATTATTTAATAATTAGATAGGAACAATGAAAAGTATTATTGCTTAATAATTATAAAAGAGTAGAGCCATTAAAACGCTATTAATTAATAATTGGATAAAATTAATATGATTAAAAACGTTAATTTTTAGTAATTATAAAAGAGTAGAGCCATTAAAAACTTTATTGTTTAATAATTAGATAAGAGTAGAAACAATTAAATACGTTATTGTTTAATAATTATAAAAGATTAAGACCATTTAAACTCTATCGATTGATAAGTATTATAAAATTAAAATGATTAAAAGCGTTATTTTT